ACTGAAAATTCTAAATCACCACCATATAGTGAATAAAAACAATTGTGACAAAAACTAAGTGCTCAGTCCACAGAGAATGTCCAAAAACAAACTCTTCATATATAACAGTTCATTTGTGCAGATGATCAAACGGTGAAATGTCCTTCCGTGAATCCACCACCACATTGCAATCACCAGAAAACCAAAAATATTGTGTCCAATTTGTGCTAAAACCTCCACAGATCGTCCATCTCCCAGGCACCGCCACAGACAGCTATGGATCCTATGGAAAGAAGCTCACCACACAGAGCCTGAAATACATTTCATGATGTAGTATTTTTATAAAATGTATTGAGAGATGAATACATTAAACAAATAAAACAACTGTCCCAGGTGGATAAACATGAACTGCCAGCAGTCAGAATTACTATGATGGCTGCCGTTCCAAACCACGGACATGTGACGTCAGCACGTATGCCCCCTACATGCGCGTTTTGTGCACCAGCACGTCCTCAGGGGATACGCCTACCACTGACATCATACGTGGTCTCCTTAAATAGCCTGTGAAGCATCGCACGAACTAGCACATAACATTTTGTTGTGTGATTATGGGCCTTACGTACCGACATCATGCCACCATGTCCATTGTTTAGAACGGCGGCCACCTTGTAAATCTGACAGCTGGCAGTTCATGTTTATTCACCTGGAACAGTTGTTTTATTTATTTGTTTACAATAAATTTAATAAACAAACTACACCATGAAATGTATTTCGGGCTCCGAGTGGTGAGCTACTTTCCATAGGATCGTTGGCCGTCTGTGGCGGTGCCTGAATGACGGGTGATCCGTGGAGCTTTTAAGACACATTGGACAAAATACTTTTTGGTTTTCTGGTGAGTGCATTGTGGTGGTGGATTCAGGGAAGGAAATTTCACTGTTTGATCATCTGCACAATTGAACTGTTATATATGAAGAGTTCATTTTTGGTCATTCTCTGTGGACTGAGCACTTAGTTTATGTCACAATTATTATATTTTTATTCACTATATGGTGGTGACTTAGAATTTGCATTAGCCAAGTTCTTGAGGTTTCAGTATGGCATTCGCTGCATGAATTTATGTGGTTTTATATTGAAATTTATATCTCATATGCACGTTATTTCTAGCGCTGCACTTATTCACTTTGTTTACTTATTATTTGGCTTGTCACTAATTGTTGTGCTAGCTGCTTCTCTCTCTAAGCGCTCACTTTTGTTATTGTTGATCCTGGTACAACTAAATAGATGTTTTGGGTTTTTAGTGCAGGAACTGAGCTTTAAGTTATTTCAAACAAAGATATGTTCCAATAAGCTCCCTAATGTTATTTTATATTTTATCTGCAGCTGTTATTGGAAGTTTATATAGCATGGGTTGTATTCCTTTAAATGTTACTTCATTACATGGGAAAGGCCTGGTCTGTTACACTTCTTGATAGAACAGTTGTCCAGACACAGCTCAAGCCTGACACCTCCGCCAGTTATCTGTTCCATTTTCAGGTTTACGAGGAATCATTGTTCTCATTTGTTGCTTAGTCACAGTGTGATGCGATAATACGTTCCCGATACTTATATGTAAGCACTGTATGACTCCTCATGTGTGAGGCTCAGTTTCCGAATCCAAGTCTAGGCTTCCATAATGACACACCATTCTGCTGCCAGGCAGCTCCTAGCCCTGGATGCACATCATGGCCTGTTTGTGTCTGGTCTACCCAAGCCAGAAGCTGTCTGACAAAATGTAATTATTGAAAACCTATCATTATTTAAAGCATAGTGATAGATATTCCTCCCAGCTCTGCAGCCTGTCTGGTCCCAGTTTGGAGATTGGGAGTTGAGAATTTTAAGACTTAGGCCTATATGACGTCGCGAAAAGAAACTGACCAAATGCACTGCCTCCCAGAAAGAGCAAATCCAGCAATAAGTCCTCAGTTAGGGTAAATGCTAAGGGAGAACTTTGAAGAGAACTTCAGTTAGTTTACACCATTCAATAAATCAAATCTGTACTGATTCTAAAGATTTCCAACCTTGATGCAATAACAGGCCCTTTCAGTTGCCTAAATGTAGCCTGTGTCTCAGGCATTGTGAAACCCAGAGTGTTCTATGATGCAAATTTCAACTATGGCTAGTATGTTAGCCTTCTGCACCCCACACATCACTATCAGATGGTGAAGATACCCCTCAAAGAGATGAGGCATGAATAAAGCATGGCAGATAGAAAGGAGTGGGCCAGGCTTGCATAACAGTGTACCCTGATTTCAGGGATTCGTAATCCTTCTTGTAGGCAGGTGCAGTCTGCTTTCTCCATTGTGGGTGGTGCTTTGCTGGAGCGGTACTTTGCTGGAGAGGAAAACCTGGTTTCTCTATGGTCTCCTGGCCCCTGGAGGCAGCATTTAGGCTGGCTACGCTGCATCCAGGTGACCATGGTGGCCATCTTATGTCAGCAGAGCCTTTTAGGTCCTGCCCCCAGGCTTTGGCGCACTTTTTGGCGAGTGGACAGGGTAGGGAAAGAGCACCAGCCTGTCAGGGAAAGTGATTAGCGACAGGGAAAGGTTCCAGACAAGTAGGGGAAAACTTCCCCTCTGGGTTCAGACAGGCCAGGCCACATTCTGCTGTCGGTGCATTTTACCTGCTCTTTTCTGCAAGCTGTACAGAACTGTGAGTGTTCTCCAGCAAGGTGGTCTTCCACTGGGTAGTTTGTATATTTGACCTGTTTCATCAATACAAGACTTGTTATTCACAAGTGGATTTTGTGTGATTTCTGCTGCCATACTACGCCGCACCATTCACATTCCTAGGGTTAACTAAAGCCTAGATGTCTGTGGCCTCCACCCGTAAAACTATTCCTGTTTTGCGTGTCGTCTCATTATTGTCCATCTAGTGCACCTGTTGTTAACCTCTTTACCTACCACGCTATAGCTGAAAGACAGCTACAGCGCAGTTCTGGGACAATGTCCATGGACATCATTCCAGAACACGCCCCCAGCGGCGCACACCCCCGGCGGTGCCGGTGATCACTGTGTCCTACGGACACAACTGATCACATGATATGGTAAATGGCCAATCACAGTGGCCCTTTACCATGTGATCAGCTGTGTCCAATGACAGCAGATCACTGGGTAAATACAGTTGCCGGTTATCGGTTGCACTTTCCTCATGCTGTCACAGCATGAGGAAAGTACTGCTGATAACTTGCAACTGTCAGAGAAATGATCGGCACTGATGATCAGTGCCCAGCAGTGCCACCCCCCTGTGCCCATCAGTACCGCCCACCTGTACCCATCAGTGCCACCCACCTGTGCCCAGCAGTGCCGCCCATCAGTACTGCCCATCAGTACTGCCCATCAGTGCTGCCTATCAGTGCAGCATCATCAGTGCTAGCTCATCAGTGCCACCTATCAATAGCGCCCATCAGTGCCTCTTATCAGGGCCTATCAGTGCTGCCTATCCATGCCACCTCATCAGTGCTGCCTAGCAGCGCCCAAGGAGAAAAATTACCTGTTTGCAATATTTTGATTTTTGATAATATATCAAAGAAACACTTTTTTTTCACATTTTTTGCTCTTTTTCTGTTTATAGCACAAAAAATAAAACACCCAGCAGCGGTTAAATACCACCAAAAGAAAGCTCTATTTGTGTGAAAAAATGATAAAAATGTCATATGGGCACAATGTTGCATGACTGCACAATTATCATTCAAAATGCGACAGCACTGAAAGCTGAAATTGGCCTGGGCAGGAAGGGGGTATAAGTGCCCAGCAGGCAAGTGGTTAATTTCATTACCACCAGAGCAGCTGAAACTGATTAACAACCCCCCTACTGCTACTTAACTGACCAGATCAATATCCCAGGAGTTTCACTGACTTGATGCTAGACTCTGATTAAAAATCGTTCCTTTAATTTTTTTGAGCAATGTATCTGTAGATTGTTATTACTAAACGTCTCTAAAAGTAACTTTGTTGTAATTAATTATTAAGATAAGAGTGTAATTCTTCTTTAAATGGGATTAAAGTGTATTTCCAGCTACTTTTTAAATTTTGTTTAATTGGGGTACAGTGGGGATGAAGTGGAAACTCCATAGGGTTTTTACTGCTATCTGCAGTTTTGCTAGTTACTGTCTAGGTGACAACACTTTCCCCAGACAGGAAGTAAGGAAAAATCTTTGGTCTGAGCCATCCCAATCAGCTGAGGAAGGGGAATCAACACTGATAGCTGCCTTCTAAGTTTAGCCAAATCTGGGTTTTAACTGAACCCAGAGAATCAGATAGTGGTAAAAACCTGACAGAGGTCCTAGCCCCTCTGTATTTTACCCAGCACCACATAACAAGCGTGGTCTGGTTATACACTTCAGGCTTTGTACAGGCACCCAGGCACATTGGGAATTACTAGCTTCAGGACTACACATCTACTCCTTCACTTCTCTCCCTTCAAAAAAAAGTCAAAGTTTGGTAGGGAAGAATAGGAAGTATAACAGTCCACTAGGCTGAAAAACATAATGTTCAGAAAAATTTACCCTTTCACAGCTCTGGCAATCTTGGTCCAGCAGATGGCAAAATAAAAGCTCTCATGAAAAGAACTAATCACAACATGGTGTCTAAAAAAGTTGTTCCTGGCCCCACAACGATGAAAGGATAAATTTTCTGCATCAAAATGATTTCATTTTATCCTTTAATTAATATAGTATTGTAAAGGAAGATCAACTAAGGCCGGCCATATATTATACAATTTTCTTGTGCAATTTCCCTTTAGATTTGCCCAAACCATATAATATGAGGTCAAACCTAAACACTCTCAATCTGTATGCAATCAGGAAGGCCCTTGCACTACATAGTTGAAAGTAAATCTAAAGGAAATGAGAAAATTGTAAAATGTATGACCAGCCTTACAACACATTTGTATTATATATGACCCAATAAACTAGGACAATAATATCTGTAATAAAATGTGCATTCACATACTAAGGGAGAGAACAGAATCTGGTGCAGCTGTGCATGGTAGCCAATCAGCTTCTAACTTCAGCTTGTTCAGTGAAGCTCTGACAATAAAACCTGGAAGCTGATTGGTTTCTACGCAGAGCTGCATAGATTTTTCACTCTTCAGTTTTAGTAAATCTCTCCCTAACAGTCAACTCAGATAACTTAATATTTACACAATATTCCAGAACACTTGGCATTTTTGATGGATTTCCCCTTTAAATGTCAAGTCTCTTGTACAGTCAAAAGAGGAGACAAAAATAAACTTGTCACATGAAATTCACAAATGATGTGGCTTGGTTGTACTATTTTCAGTGGCTATACAGCAGACAATCTTTTACAGGATAATAACAATAAAAGCCAAGATCATCATGTGGAAATTCAAGGGGGCAGGCAGGCCCAGCTCTGCCGATGATCCCAGCGTGATAATCAGAATTCTCGCCATTCCATATATCAGCTCATTTGTGAATATTGTTTTAGCTCCCAAGGCAACATCCAGTGAATGACTTGTTTTGCTGTCGTAAAAAGGGGGAATGAAGGAATAATATCTATCCTCAGCCTTCGGAGCCTGTGTATTATGAGTTCAGTTTTAAAAGCAGCCTTTTCTTTTTTGCTAAAACTAAACTGTATGTATGTATATATATATATATATATATATATATATATATTTATATACACACACACTATATTGGTCGGCCTGCCTTTACACGCACAACTTTAATGGCCTCACAGTTTTAGTCCGTAGGGTTCAATATTGAGTTGGCTCACCCTTTGCAGCTATAACAGCTTCAACTCTTCTGGGAAGGCTGTCCACAGATTTAGGAGTGTGTCTATGGGAAGGTCCCCTCACAATTCCAAGAGATTTTGAGTCTGATATGGATTTGGAGGGGACCCCGTGCCGTTTTGAAAAAAAAAAAACAATTGGCATGGGGTTCCCCTTAATATCCATACCAGACCCCTAGGGGTTGGGGGGCACCCCCTCTTTGTATCTGAAAAAATACCACCAGCAAAACCCTGGTGATAAATACCGCATCTTTTTTTTACTTTCTGTTGTGTTTGTAAATTGGATTTAACAGCTTACCGCAGGGTTTTTTTTGTAGTATTTACCGACACATTTTTAATTACCGCAGAATCCTTATTTCTTTGTGAATTGGACATTTTGTTACCGCATGTGATAAGTTATGCAAACGAGTCACGTGACAGTGTTATCACATGTGGTAACCTTTAGTGAATTTACTCCATTGTGACCTACAGTGACCAGCTGGGCTTTACCTTTCAGCAGAAGTTACTAAACATATTGACTGATAAGGGGTAGCTACTGCAGTTTTTCTAAATCTGACCTGTCTTTGCTTTTTTGTGCATTTCAAAACTGGGGACACATGAACACTACTGGAATGAAAATGAGCACACAGGGAACTGACAAGCAAGTATAATACATAAAAGTCTCCGGCATACTAGCATCACAAGCTTAGGAAATTCTTCAAACTTCATGCTCGAGCCTAGTAAATCTTCCCCCGATGTCGCAGCATTTAATAGGAATCGCTAGGGTGTCTGGTACACGTGTACGTAGAGGGAACAAAGTGATTCTTCCACTTTAACACAGCGCTGTTCCATTTAAGGTGGAACACTATTTAAAAAAGCCAGCAGGAAGCTATGAATTGCTTGTCTCTTACCTAACCCCCATATAGAGTCATTCTATGCACAGCTAAAGGAAGATCCATTTCACATATCAGTAAAATCTATAGGCAACACTGTTTTCTATCTCTTCTCTCTCCCCGCTCTCTCTCTTCTTCGCTATCTCTCTCGTGAGTTTGCTGTGTCACTGTGATTATAAAAGAGACAAAATAGGCAATGATTTTTCAAACAACAATTAAAACAGCCGTAATCTCTGCAAGACGCCTTGTTTAACTCATGTGGAGGAAGCTGTAATGAATGACGATGCCACAGTCTCTCTCTTGTGTAAAGTTTGTATTTTTTTCTGCAGCTCTGCTTCACTAATTCTCTGTCTGCCCTCCATCTGACAATGAGATGCCGTAAGAGTACATAGGAACTCCATTACGATGCAGCAGAATGTTGTGCCGTGAAACAGAACTGTATTGGGATGCCGAGCCAATAGGACTGCACTGAAGCGGCTTTGCAGGCACCTCCCTGCACTGCACCTACAGATGCACTAATCTCCAGAGACAGACAGAATCAGTTAACTAGGCCAATGCCACCACATTTGGAGCAATGCAGAATAACAAAGGACTTTATACAGGGACTAAATCTAAAATAAAGGAAATGGCATTGTTTGGAAGTGGTTTAGTAACATTCACAACTCGGCATGAGAAAAACAACCCAGGCAAGTATAGAAAATAACCAACAATGGTGGCCTGCTGCCATGCTTTACTCATCTCTGGAGACATAATGAGGCAATATAATTGCAGACTGTTTTTTTTTTTATTTTTTTACACAACAGGATATCAACATGCCTACTTCATTATGAATATCTTTTATTATGATCATCCTCTGAAGGTATATGTACTTTATGTATCTACAAAGTGTATAAGTACTGAAGTGGTTGGTTTGACCAAGACCTGGGACAAGATCAGAATGTTTTTTTTTTAGGTTCTCCCTGTATCCATGTAGGCTTTCTTCAGATCAGGGTTTCATAACTGAGTTATTCATATGTATTGGTGGTATTGGAACCAAATAAAGGAGGTACAGGATTGAATCTCTAAATAATTTAAAAAGTTTTACAACAGGAGACTCTGCTTTATTGAACCTGAATTCAAAGTGCAGACATGCAAGAACATTGTCAGTAACTGGACCTCAATTCCATGTTTTCATTGCAAAGGCAAAAATCTCACTTGTTATAGCTAGCTTGTGTATTTGTGATTTTCTGATTTTATATAATAAAATGATAGCTTCCCTATGTTTTTTTCAGTTGTTCTGTTCCTAGCTATCCATTCAAACTACTGACATCTTTTGAGGTACCTAATACCTGGTAACTATTACAATCATAACTTCCACAGTCTTAGAAACGGGCTACGGGGAACCCTGTAGCCATGATGAACTTTGGGTGTTGGTTAATCATAAAAAAAGTTAAGAACCCCTGGCCTAGGTGTTGTGGATTTCACCCAGGAACATATTTAACCTGAGGTTTAACTGGATCTCATTGGTTTGTTGGTATTTAGAACCTACAGATGCAGGCATGTTTCATTTACTGTTAAAGGCTGCAAATACATTTGGAAGGGATGAGCGAATTTGATTGGGTTTGGTTTGCGAAGAGTTTTGCAAATCTTGGTTGAAGTTTGACAACTTTGATATAAACACCATTGAAATCTATAGGGGAGGGGGTGAATCTTACGCTGCAGTTCTGCCCAATAATATGGTTAATAAACAAACTATTGTCAAGCAAATAGCATGGGAAACAAAGCACTGGGGGGGGGGGGGGGGGGGGGCAACATTTACCCATGCCAAAATCTAAAAAAAACCTGTAATCTCTTCCTAACTGATCCAAGACACACAGAGGAGACACACAGGGATTTACAAAAACCAGAGAGTACAAAATCTGGTGCAGCTCCCCATAGAAACCAATCAGCTTCCAGGTTTTATTGTCAAAGCTTAATTGAATAAGCTGACATTAGAAGCTGATTGGATACTATGCACAGCTGCACCGGATTTTGCACTGTTCAGTTTTAGTAAATCTGGTGGCTATGAGCCTGCCCATTTATAGAAAGGAGACTTTCCTTTAAATTATTGTCTATTGTGACTCACCTGACCAGGAAAAGCATAAGCACCACATTAACCTCCCTGGCAGTATTCCCGAGTGTAGCTCGGGGTAAAGTTTCTGTACCAAAAGCGGTAACCCTGAGCTACACTCGGGCTTACCATGCGGCGCTGCATAGGGAGTCCCTGCAGAGCTTACCTTGTCCTTCGCTCCCGCGATGTGTCCCCTGCAGCGTCCCCGGCCATCTCCTCCGGCTGATGCCGGCATCCGGCTTCTGTGTTCCGGTCCCTGTGATGTCGGGACGTACGGGCGCCGCTGGCGGCGGGGGAAAAGTTGAACATTTTAAAAAAATTACATAGTAAAACATTGCTGTTTCAAACCATTTCACATACATTTTGTCCCGAGTGCTTTGTCCTGTGTCCCGTCTGCATTTTTACTGTTCTTTCTGCCTGGAAACTGAGAAACGTCCATGGCATCCAAAAAGCGTCCCTTTAGGTCAAAAGCGGGTATAGATCAGCTAGAGAACAGCGATAGTAAATCAGAACCACTTGCAGAATTGAGTGATAATGATTTGTGGGGAAATTCGTCATTAGACACTGAAAACAATTTTGCGACTTTGCTCAGCGATGTGCGAACTTGGCACTATTTTCAAATTTCAGTGTTTTTGGTTTGATTATATTATTGAATTAAATATATTATTATTATATTATTATTTTTTATGATTATTTATTAAATTATAATTTATTATTTTGTGTTTCAAATTTTATCATACCCGGGATGTTTAATAGACTCTTGTTTGGACAGATTTCAGTGAGCTATTCCTAAATATTACAGCCTAAATAAAAAAACTACATATTTCCATGCAAAAAAATGGTACCGCTTTCAGCACCAAAAATCTGAAATAATCATACCGCCAGGGAGGTTAAAGGTTGTTTCTTGGTTTTGGCACAAACTTTTCATCAGTTTGTGAAACTTTGCAAAACCTGGGGATTTGTTGAAAACCCTAATCTCAACCCAAATGTGGGGGATCTTTACTTATAATATAACAAGAACAGGCAAGAAATTGTTTTTCATTTTAAATATTATTATTGCATCTGGCTTTTCATCTAGAGCTCTATTATCTGCATAGAATGAAATGTCTGCTGCATGTCATATCTGTTTCACCCCCTCCCCCTTCCCTTTAGAAGAACAATGAGGGGGATTATTAGCCATGAAAATATCAGAAGTTTCTTTCCCGTCTTCCCTGGATGAAGGAGCTTGGCACTGCTCATTTGTCACATGACATCAGAAGACATTTGGCAGATACCTGTCTAATGAAGTGTACCAGAAATGCGACACACGGAGGCTCCGGGGCATGGGCTGCGAATCAGCCGGGATATTACAGCGAGCTACCCATCTATCTCTGTGCCCATCTACCTGTCCTTCTGTTTATCTGTGCAACTGTTTGTCTATTTGTCATCTCTCCTTCTGCTGCATTCCAAATTCTGATTACCTTTAGCTTCGCGTTACAGAGAACTGTTTGTCTATTGTCAGTGGCTTAAAGAAAATCTGTGACCTGAAAAGGAACACCTGCAGGTACAGAAAATTTGCTAATTAGACAAAGTAACATAGTTCCCCTGAGATTGTGTCCAACTTAAAGAGCAATTCCGGACAACACATTGAATCGAACACTGCTCTCCCCACCTTTGTCAAAAAGAAAAAAAAGTGAATTTGTAAAACAACAAAACATTATTTTCACCTGTATTTAAATAGGATGAAAACCATAACAGAACTGACTAAGCCATAAAAATGTCACAGTATCAAAATGCAGTAAACATGAAAAAATAATAGCTTTGGCTTTAAAAAAAATAAAAAAATATATATTTTTTTCTTCTTGTGATTTTTATAAACAGGATCCTGTGACTCCTTCCTCATCGTAGGTAAGTATCCAAGTAAGTATGTACCTTGTATGTATGTGTTAGCAGGTGACAGTCTGTCTAATGTGTGGCCATAGTGGGCACTTAACATAAACCTTCCAGGCACACCAGACCTTGCCCCGTAGGTCTCGCTCTATCTCTCTTGATATACAGGTGGTGGCCAGACACCAGACCCCCTTTTCACCTTGCTGGTTATGCAACCTTACCTCTCACCCCCAAGGGTATCCAGACGCTGGCCCTCATCCTTCCAATGCTTGTCAGCCAGGTGACATTATTTATTATACAGGATTTATATAGCGTCGACAGTTTGCTCAGCGCTTTACATTATGGAGGGAGACAATACAGTAACAATACAGTTCAATACAAGAGGGATTAGAGGGCCCTGATCCTGGGAGCTTACAATCTAGGAGGGAGGGGATAGTGGTACAAGAGGTAATTAGCTGTGGGGGATGGAGTGGTTGGGGGTGTAGGGGATTCCAGTAACATCATGGACACTTTTGTTCTCTCTCTCACCACATATACTGCAATACCTGAATAACTGCACACTGAAGCAGCACGTAGATTAATTTTTTTACTGCAGAATATGAAGTGGCAATACTGCCAAAGTGGGTCTTAGACCCCCAACACAGTTCAGCAAAGCATTCTTCCTTCAAACACTGTCTGGAGTCCCTTTAAGGCAGGTGATGCATCGCTGTGCCCCTCTCCAGGTGAACCCAACCAGGGGGAGAAAAGGTTTAGAGTCCCTTAGATGCTCATCTCCTACATGGCAACCCTTCCCATGGCCAGGGTTCTCCCTACTAAACTCCTCCCACCATATTTATGGGACCTGCCCGGAAGTAAGTGAAATAATTTCTGGAAGCAATTTAAATAGTACAAATCTTAAGTGGGCCACCTGGTGACCCAACCTCAACATATGTACTGTATTTGCATATATGTTTGTTTGTAAGCAGCTTTTTTTTCAGCTGGAACACGGGGAGACTTATTGGCAAGGGGTGCTGAGGTGTGCTGGAAGGTCTATTGATGCTGGATGCTGGGGGAATCTATTGTCACTGGAGATAATCCGTTTTTGCATGGTGATCTATTGTTGCTGGGGGTTTCTATTGTAGCCGGCGGGGTATCTATTATTGCTGGGGGGTCAATTGTTGCTGGAAAGATCTACTACTGAGGGAGGGGTCTATTGTTGCTGGCTACTGTAGAGTCTGTTGATTTTTGCTTCTGGGACATTTGTTGCTACTGGGGTCTATTGATGCTGGGGTGGTATTTTGTTGTAGTGGTCCATTGTTGTTGGGAAAATCTATTGATGCTGGGGGGCTATTTCTGCTGGCTGTGGGGGGATCTATTTTACTGCTTTTCTTGTTATCATTAACAAATTCCATACAAATTACGTAGCACCACAAAATGATACTTTCTAAAACAGCAGTACTGGGAGGTGGGTAGAGGGTAGAACCAGGAGGTGCGTAGGGGGGCAAAGACAAGAAGCGACTTAGAAGGGGGGAGTTCCTGTACCTATTCTATGAGAAAAAAAGCCCTGCATGTAAGTATCCATCCAAGTATGTAACAAGCTGTATCCACTACGAACTACCAGGCAGTTGTTTGCCAGGAGATGAAGAAAAAGAAATGAGAGCCACATCCAAAAGTTTGTGTCCAATTAATATTCATCCCATTAAAATTATTCAATAAAATCTACATACTGTATATAGGAAAGCATATCGGGGGCTCCCCTTCATCAGGGCTTGAAATTCTGATTAGTGAAAACAAATACAACACCTCCTGTACTCAGGGACCCAGATCAGAAGTGGGCGGATGGAACAATATATGAAAGTTCGTCCATTAACCGATCAAAGGTTGTGCAGCTCTAACACAAGGCTGGGGAAGCCCAACATAAACTGCAATGAAGAACAAAAACAAAAGTGCACCAACCTTGCACATTACTTCAGTAAGCAAAAGGGTGAATTTATTGAATTAAGATATATACTCACAAAAGTGGCAAAAGTTTTGGGATTTTATATGCCTTAACTTTTGCCACTTTTGTGAGTATATATTTTAATTCAATAAATTCACCATTTACTTACTGAGGTAATGCACAAGGTTGGTGCACTTTTGTTTTTGTTCTTCATTGCAGTTTATGTTGGACTTCCCCAGCCTTGTGTTAGAGATGCACAACCTTTGATTGGTTAATGGACGAACTTTCATATATTGTTCCATCAAAACAAGGCCAAGAGGGTTAGGAGGGTAACAAAAATGGTTAAAAAATAACATAATGGTTAAAAGCAGACTCCTCAGCTGCTGGCTGTTGCAGCAACTATGTTGGCGGGAAGTTGTCTGGCACCCTTATACAATAGCAGCTTTTTTTTATATCTGGCAGTCTTAAACATTCCAAAGGTATTTTTATATCTGATAGACTTATGAACTAGTTATTTATTTTTTAAATCAACCATTCTATTCAATTTATGTTCACTGAAAAACACATTTCATGTATTCACAATTTTTGAAAATTCTACTTTATAAAAGAATGAAAAAAATCCATGTTATTTCAAGAAGAGCACAGAGATAACATCCATCACATTTTATATCAAACACATACTTTTTGTTACGCATGTTCCCTGCTTTCTGTTCCCGTATGGCTAGTCAGCATTTACAACTAAAGAAAGTTCAGCTGTAGAACTGCTTGTACCATTCAAAATTTCTGGGTCAGATGCAATAAAGAATTGAGAAAGTAGTTAGAAAAATGTTGATAGATAGAGAAAGGAATATGAATCTAACAAGTGAAGCATTCTGGGAAGACCTGAGCAAGAAACAAGTGCAACTTGGAAGTCTAATTTATACAGAGCAACTTTTCAGCAATCTCTTAAATAATGAAAAACAACATTGTTAGCTCTCTCCGGGGGAGAAACATACATGAAAGCCATGCTAGCATTAAAACTTCACACTGAAACATTTCACCTATGAAGCAGAAAGTAAACAATCCTGAAAGAGAATGGAGAGAAAGAAAAACGAGGAAAAAAAAATCAAGGAGGAACAAATAACCTCAAATTCAATTAATTTAATCTATGATGACATAACTTGCCTCTATTAAAAACAATCTAAGACATTAGTCTTGTTTCCAAAGACAAAACATTACTCTGTTGGAACCTCCGGGGGGGAATTTCGGGACTGCTAACATATGAAGCGAGAGTTATATTATGCTAAAATGAGTCAATTACAAATGACAGTAGGAGTGCAAAAAATGATTACACTGTCTTAACCCCATCCTTGCTGGTAAGAAAATGTTGGATAAATGAGTATTACCAATCTACTGCTGGCTGGAATGAGGAGTCTACTTGTGTGCCAGTTGGCCTGACACATTTACAGTGGCTGCTCATAAGAGATCACATGGCCCAACCTAAAGCAGATTTAAACTCTTTGATTTAACTGTTTCCAAAAACAGATACAATCAAGG